CGTTGAGTCGACCGCTGAGTACTCGTCTGCTGCCCCGTCGTCGGTTGAGACCACCACTGCTCCCAACGGTGGCTATTCGACTGCTGCTCCGTCGTCGGTTGAGACCACCACTGCTCCCAACGGTGGTTACTCGACTGCTGCTCCGTCGTCGGTTGAGACCACCACTGCTCCCAACGGTGGTTACTCGACTGCTGCTCCGTCGTCGGTTGAGTCGACCGCTGAGTACTCGACTGCTGCCCCGTCGTCTGTTGAGACCACCACTGCTCCCAACGGTGGTTACTCGACTGCTGCTCCGTCGTCGGTTGAGACCACCACTGCTCCCAACGGTGGTTACTCGACTGCTGCTCCGTCGTCGGTTGAGACCACCACTGCTCCCAACGGTGGTTACTCGACTGCTGCCCCGTCGTCTGTTGAGACCACCACTGCTCCCAACGGTGGTTACTCGACTGCTGCTCCGTCGTCGGTTGAGACCACCACTGCTCCCAACGGTGGTTACTCGACTGCTGCCCCGTCGTCTGTTGAGACCACCACTGCTCCCAACGGTGGCTATTCGACTGCTGCTCCGTCGTCGGTTGAGTCGACCGCTGAGTACTCGACTGCTGCCCCGTCGTCGGTTGAGACCACCACTGCTCCCAACGGTGGCTATTCGACTGCTGCTCCGTCGTCCGTTGAGACTACCTCGGCTCCCAACGGTGGCTATTCGACTGTTGCTCCGTCGTCCATTGAGTCGACCGCTGAGTACTCGACTGCTGCCCCGTCGTCGGTTGAGACTACCTCGGCTCCCAACGGTGGCTATTCGACTGTAGAGTCAACCATTGTGACTGCGCCGACAACCACTGCACCCAACCCCGGATACTCGGCTACCGATGTTCCCACACCAGCTTCATCGGCCCCAGTCTACCAGACCACTTCGCAGGCTGTTCACCGCTGCCCAGCTCCCAAGCATTAAGTGATCGCTGTTTATTACCTTTGCTAATTTCATGACTACTAGAACATTGAATGTTGACCTTTTGCCCCTGAGAATTCTGACGAATATGCCAATTGCACTATTATGTTTAATTTTCTATCCAGACGTTGCTTGGCTCCCACCCAACTAGCATAGATTCCATTCACCTTATCGGGTATCAATATTGCCCCTCCCCACACACCGCTGCGTGCATAGAAAATAGCGAGAATGCAACCAGTAATCTGTTCTGGGTTTAAAGACTGTTTTAATAGCACCCTGTCATTCTCACCTTTGCTGAAATGCTACTGCCGCTTTTATTCGCAATACTATCCGACCAGATGCTCAGAGCAAGGTATGTTAAAGAGAGCCCTGCATACATAGAGCCCTTCTTGTCTGCTTTTTTCGAAACTCCTCCGTTACCCTCTTTCAGCTTTGTTATTCATTTGGCATTTCCGCTTGTTATTTTGTGCCTTGAACTTCCCTCACACTGCTGCTGCTCTCTTTTGGTTGACGTTGACGTTTACGCTAGGGTTCTGTTCCAGTTTGTTTCCCACCACATATTCTTGCCAGCCACCAGCGTCAATGCGGTCGTCTTCCGAGTTTTTCTCTCCCCGCTCGACTAACTCGCACCGCTCCGAGTCCTTCCAGGCAGTGTGGAAACTGTACTGCAAGCACTGCCACGTACTATGGAGCTCGCGTGGAATGGAGGTAAAGTAGCGAGCAGCAGAGCCTGGCCAGCAGTGATGGCCACCTTCACTTCTTCTCATACTGCCCCAGATATTGGCGTAATATTTGCATATTCTTGTCCACTGATCTGTCACCTTCCCCGCCCTCACTATCCATCTCCCCGCACATTGTATGCCTTGAAATATGCTCACATTATTTTCGTACTACATGCACCCTTCTGCTTCCCATGATTTATTGGAGTAGGCCGTTGTCATGGCACGCCCAGCGATCCGCTGCTTCTCAACAGACCTACCCCCGCTCGGGTGCGATGTCGTGTACCAGCCAGTAGCTCCCTCGATCGCCGACATGATTGTGGACTCAGGCTGTAGCACCTGTAGCTCACTGACTCACCATGCACGCCGGTTCGACTTGGCGCCTAGTGGCCCCTGCGACTGCCATGTGCAGGATATCGCGTGTCTTGGCTGCGGTAATGTTGTAGGCTACTATATACATCGCCCATGCTTCCGCTGCCTTGCGCAGCGCTTGAGAATCAAGCAACGTGGGTTCCAACATCTGTGGACGTTCTATCAGGACAATGTGTTTCCAGTACAGCGAGAGAATGACTACGGGGAACCGGTTGGGTGGGACGATCTGCCGTCCCCGCCAGCGCCAACAACCACTGTGATCAGGAGTTCACAGACCAATGTTCACCAGAACATCAACCCGCCAACGCAACAGCAGCAACATAATATCCAGCAATCAGTCCCAGGAGCAAACGACTCAGCGCGCAGCTTTCGGTATAACGAGATGATCGAGTCGGCACGACAGGATCGCCACCTGCGTTCGCTAAACGAGGCCACCAACGAAGCGCTGCATGACACGGGCGTGCGGCCTGCTGCTGCTGATGGAGCTACCTCCACCAATACACCTACCACTCGCCCAACACAGGCAGGCAATGACGACCCCAGCTCTGCATCTATTTCAGCGCAGAGACACGTGGGACGCCGAGCACACTGGCTAATGTACACGTCACAGCGCGTCGCTGCGGAGCGTGTGCTGCTTAACCCACGTGCTGGCCGGGAGGCACGGCAGGAAGCAATGCGGACACTTGCAACGCTGCGGGAGCAGGATTGGAATGCAGTTGCAGGTGCAGGCTCCAATGAGACCAGTGCAACATCGCGTAGCACGACAACCACGGCATCTCAGAGCCCACTTGAGGAGCCTATTGAACACAGCGAGGCTGCCTCAGATCGCTCCACTCCGTCTATGTCTCCTGAGAGCAGAATGGCGTTGGCCGTCTCCGGAACATCCGGTGCGCGCGGCATGGTGTCAAGCAGCACTGCACGACACGTACCTCCAGCGCGGCCAACCACCCAGACCATTATCTCCTCCTCCCAGCAGTCAGTTCGCACGACAAATAGGCTGCAGAGCGACAGCTCCAGCCATTCACTCAGCAGCTCACAAGGGAGTGGAAGCAGCAGCAATGGTGCTTTAGATAGTGCTGTGACGAGGGGTAGCAGTGGCACTGGCAGCATCGGCGCCAGTATTGGTGATGGGTATGTGGACAGCATGGCGTTCGTGTCAGCACCAGATCAATCGAGCACAAGGTCGTTCAGCAGCAACGGCCATGCACTGGTGTCCTCGTATTCGCCGTTGCATGGAAACACGAGCAGCTCAACTCGGCGTGATGAGGTGATGGAGCCACTGTGCCCACCAAAACCCAAGTCTACCAGCGCACCCCCGCCTGGACTGAGCAACTGGCTATTCCAGGTTGGGCTCGATTGCATGGTGAAGTGGGAAGAGGTCACCCTCTCTCGCTGAAGCGAAAGCGTAACGGTTTTTCTGCAGGTTGTGTTTCAGGCGCTAGCAGCCCATTAAATTGACGGCCATGTCCGCTTCTACCAAAAATACCTCGTTTAGTTCGTGCCTGAAACCTGTCTGTGCCTGGGATTCGACTTGGGTGGTCCGGCTTGAATATCAGCCGAGCGTCCATAGAAGCTGTAAGTTTCACATGAAGCTCTGCGCAGCGTCGGCCTCATCCACCTTTGCAGACAAGCGCACAGAGCGAGGCAATGTAAAGGTGATGCAAATCCATGTGTCGCCTGCATGGACCTGGGTCTGTAGATCCCGCGATGGTCCTTGCGATGAAGCAAATTGTAGCGTGATGGTGCAGCATGTAGAAGCCCGCCATTTTTGCACTTCTAATAGGGCATGTGCCTTTTTACCTGTCTGGCCCTGCCCAAACCGTTTCCAGGCATAAGACAGTGCATTACAGTCAATCCCCCTGAGGCAAAGAGATATAGTGCTGTACACGAATATGATAGCAATCCTCGATGGGCTGCGTACATTCGCCAGCGACGAGCAGCCTAGGATGGACGCTTATCCCGCAAACTATGATTTGCCTCAGAATACATGGCGCATTCCGGGGGTTAAAACAAATACATCTGGTGAGAGAAAATGAGAGGAAGAAACAGGGAGAGGCTGGGATTCCGCTGTTGTATGTACATATACCGCTATATCGGCATGGCCAGGTCGAGTCAACATTTCTATTTTCTTTTAGCTAACGTGCTTGTTTTTTCTTTTGAAATATTCCTTGCCTCCTCGCTTCCTCATACATAATCTAATTTCACCATCTCCGCTCGATATCTCTGACTAGCCACACTTTTTGTTTATACCCGCAGAGTAAATAGTAACAGAGACGCAGACGCGATATCAATTTTAAGATGAAGGTCAATACGCTCTTTGGCTATGTCGCATTCATGGGTTTAGGCGCAGTCGCTAGTGCCAAGTCAACCATCGACTGGACAAACGTTTGCACTATCAATGCGGTCAACGCAAAGTGGTCGACAATCAGAATGGAGATGAATGTGCTGCTGCCATTTAGCTTTGTTGTCATCGGACATGAAAAGTTCAAGCAACTGAAGAAACTTCTTGGCGGTGTACAGCTGCCCAAGGAACCCACACTTGAAATTGAGCTTGGACTGCTGCAGATTTTCGGACCGGAAAAGATGGAATTCTTTATTGGACCGATTATAAAGAGCTATCTGCGAAAGCATCCGTGTCCTTCGTCGACAACTTCTGCGCAGGCAACATCGAGCTATCCCCATACAATTGTGACTCCAACCTGGACTTCTGTCTATTCAACTGCAGGTAGCGTTTCAACTCATATTTTGTCATCAACAGAATGTGAAACTGAACCCCTTACGACTACCGATTGCGAAACCGAGGTTCCATCGACAAGCGTTGTGCCGACTGCAACTACCGACTGCGAGACCGAGGTCCCATCGACCACCGACTGCGAGACAGAGGCTCCATCCACCACTGATTGCGAAACCGAGGTTCCGTCGACGAGCGCTGTGCCGACTGCAACCACCGACTGCGAGACCGAGGTCCCATCGACTACCAACTGCGAGACCGAGGTTCCTTCCACTACCGATTGTGAGACAGAGGCTCCGTCGACCACCGACTGCGAGACTGAGGTCCCATCCACCACCAATTGCGAGACAGAGGCTCCATCCACCACTGATTGCGAGACAGAGGCTCCATCCACCACTGATTGCGAGACAGAGGTTCCGTCGACCACCGACTGTGAGACTGAGGTCCCATCGACCACCGACTGCGAGACTGAGGTCCCATCGACGAGCGTTATGCCGACTGCAACTACCGACTGCGAGACCGAGGTCCCATCGACTACCAATTGCGAGACTGAGGTTCCATCGACCACCAACTGTGAAACCGAGGTCCCATCCACCACTGATTGCGAAACCGAGGTTCCGTCGACGAGCGCTGTGCCGACTGCAACCACCGACTGCGAGACCGAGGTCCCATCGACTACCAACTGCGAGACCGAGGTTCCTTCCACTACCGATTGTGAGACAGAGGCTCCGTCGACCACCGACTGCGAGACTGAGGTCCCATCCACCACCGACTGCGAGACTGAGGTCCCATCCACCACCAATTGCGAGACAGAGGCTCCATCCACCACTGATTGCGAGACAGAGGTTCCGTCGACCACCGACTGTGAGACTGAGGTCCCATCGACCACCGACTGCGAGACTGAGGTCCCATCGACGAGCGTTGTGCCGACTGCAACTACCGACTGCGAGACCGAGGTCCCATCGACTACCAATTGCGAGACTGAGGTTCCATCGACCACCAACTGTGAAACCGAGGTCCCATCCACCACGGCTTGCGAGACCGAGGTCCCATCCACCACGGACTGCGAAACCGAGGTTCCGTCGACCACAGACTGTGAGACTGAGGTTCCATCCACCACGGTTTGCGAGACTGAGGTTCCATCCACCACGGTTTGCGAGACAGAGGTTCCATCCACCACGGTTTGCGAGACAGAGGCTCCATCCACCACGGACTGCGAGACAGAGGTTCCATCGACAAGCGTTGTGCCGACTGCAACCACCGACTGCGAGACCGAGGTCCCATCCACCACCAACTGCGTGACCAAGGTTCCGTCGACCACCGTTTGTGAGACAGAGGTTCCGTCGACGAGCGTTGTTCCGACTGCAACTACCGACTGCGAGACTGAGGTCCCATCCACCACCGATTGTGAGACTGAGGTCCCATCCACCACGGCTTGCGAGACCGAGGTCCCATCCACCACGGACTGCGAAACCGAGGTTCCGTCGACCACAGACTGTGAGACTGAGGTCCCATCCACCACCGATTGCGAGACAGAGGCTCCATCCACCACCGATTGCGAAACCGATGTTCCGTCGACGAGCGTTGTGCCGACTGCAACTACAAACTGCGAGACCGAGGTCCCATCGACCACCGTTTGCGAGACAGAGGCTCCGTCGACCACCGATTGCGAGACTGAGGTCCCATCCACCACCGACTGCGAAACCGAGGTTCCGTCGACCACCGATTGCGAGACAGAGGCTCCATCGACGAGCGTTGTGACGACTGCACCTACTGGCTGTGAGACTGAGGTTCCATCCACCACAGACTGCGAGACTGAGGTCCCATCCACCACGGACTGCGAGACAGAGGCCCCCTCGACCACCGACTGTGAGACTGAGGTTCCGTCGACCACCGATTGCGAGACAGAGGCTCCATCGACGAGCGTTGTGCCGACTGCAACTACTGGCTGTGAGACCGAGATTCCGTCGACCACCGATTGCGAGACTGGGGTTCCATCGACCACCGATTGCGAGACAGAGGTTCCGTCGACGAGCGTTGTGCCGACTGCAACTACCGACTGCGAGACTAAGGTCCCATCGACTACCAACTGCGAGACCGAGGTTCCGTCCACTACCGATTGTGAGACAAAGGCTCCATCCACCACGGTTTGCGAGACTGAGGTTCCATCGACCACCGTTTGCGAGACCGAGGTCCCATCGACCACCGACTGCGAAACCGAGGTTCCGTCGACCACCGATTGCGAAACCGAGGTTCCATCGACAAGCGTTGTGCCGACTGCAACCACCGACTGCGAGACCGAGGTCCCATCCACCACGGACTGCGAAACCGAGATTCCGTCGACCACAGACTGCGAAACCGAGGTTCCGTCGACCACCGTTTGCGAGACAGAGGCTCCGTCGACGAGCGTTGTGCCGACTGCAACCACGGACTGTGAGACCAAAACCCCCACTACAACAGAGTGCGATGCGGAACAGGTTCCTACCATCGTCACCCGGGTCATAACCACTGTGGTCACCGAGCTCGTTCCTATTTCCAAGTGTCCCGTATACTAGGGAACGAGTTCCATTTTGTTGATTGCGATTATACCAGGCAAACGTGCTCTTCGAGACATCGAATATATTACTTCAAACTTTTAAGCCCAATTGGCCGGGTCAGAGTCTTGCAGCAGCGACTGTCCCGTTGTGAGTGATGCGTGCAATATCGAGGCGGACAAACCGCTCGTACCATGCGTACAGCCTGGGTGCCTCTTCCTGAACCAGTGCGCGCTCGGGCATTGAGCACAGATCCGAGAAGATTGGGAACAGGAAGAGATCAGCCCAGGTCAGGCTCTTTCCAGCCAGGAATGTTTGGTCGCCGCCACCACCGCTGAGCTGGACAAACTGGCTCTCGAGCCCGCGCAAGATACCCTTCCCCTGAGTGACTGCGTCTTTGAGACTCTCTCGAATCTCCTGCTCGCTCACGCCCTTCCCCTCCATTGCCATGCGCGGCTTGCAGATTCCGTGGACGAGCCCACGGAAGGCATAGTCGCTAGCCATAGAAATCCACTGGCCAATGGCCAGGATGGTCGAGAAGTCTGCCGGCGTCAGCGTGCGCGCCTTGCCGCTGAACATGTGGTCGATATAGATGCGTATGGCTAGGGTCTCGTTTACAACAAACTCGTCATGGATAAGAGTTGGGATCCGGCCAAACGGGTTGTGCTTGTACGCTAGTTTTGCATGCGGTGCAGTGCGCAGCAGCTCGTACGGGACCTCGAGGTACTCGAGCGCCATGCGTACAGTGCGTGTGAACGTTGACAGCTCTACGCCAACCACTTGAACGACCATGTCTGTAGGGTAAGGAGCAGGAAATAATACAGTGCAAATAGGAAGCAAAGCAGAGAACTGGCTCGCGGCTGGGCTTCAAGACACTGTGGAGGGCTTGGCTGCCGATGCTGACGCATATGAAACTCAGGTGCAGATATTCCCGCAGTACAGCAATAGAAATAGCCGCCGGCTCATATGAACCGGCTCGGTGATTGTTCTGCTGCTCCATTCAATATGCGCTTCTACATTCCTTTGGATGGCCACTACTGTTTGTTGTCGTAGACTATTGCTGATGAGGCAATCATCAACGAGCGCGTGCATTCAAGTCTGCAGAAAATGGATGTTGAATGTATTCTACGCTCTCTGCATAGTTGGAGGTGGCAGGGATACATATTAAAGCTGTAGAGTGGTATTTGCGTATTTACTTAAGGAGTCTGTACTGGCTGTCTGCGACGGTAGCCTGTCTCTCAATGCACTCTTTAGACAGTGCCTCCTCGTCTGCTTGTCTGCGCACGTCCTTGTAGTATGGAACTGGTGAGCGGAAGCCGGGGCGGCCATGAATGTTGCCAGGAATATCAGCGATGCCCATGATAACCATGCGCTGGCGGAGCCAAATGGCGCCAAGCAAGACACAGAACGAAAAGAACAGCTCACCAGCCAGGATCCCGATGTTCTGGCCGACATGCGGGTAGGCACCGCTGGTGATCGTGCGGAAAAGCATGGTGCCGTTGTAGAAGGGCAGCACATGGAACAGGCGGAAGAACTTGGGCGCGGTCTCCAGAGGCACAATTGATGAGGCAACGTTCGGAATAAAGTGCGACAGAGACACAATGCCAAAGTACAGGGGCGGAACCATGAGCAGCAGTGCATAGATCCAGAGCGCCAGAGCTAGGACCACGGCGAAGACGGTGAACCAGATAGCAAAGAACTTGCCGGCGGTGTAGGTGAGTGCCAGGGTGTTGTAGTCCGGGCCCCTGTATGCCAGAAAGGCCAGAGAGGCGTAGAAGGAGAGCACACACACCCAGCAGGCAATCACTGCGACCCAGAACACAGCCAGGTCGCGGTAGCGGACCTTGAGGAAGAGCGCAAATGAGTTCAGTTTCCACCCAAGCATTGGGGCGAAGGTGCAGCCAAGGGAGACAAAGAACATGAAGGTGGCTGCAATGATAGAGATGGCGAAGCTGAACGGCGCGACATTGACTACCTTGTAACCGATGGGGCTGATCACTGCCGCAACACTAGGGTTGGCGCGCTGGGTGCCGGCAGCAGTTGTTTGCTTTAGTCGAGTGAGCGCACCTACCGAGAACTTGACGTTCGCCTTCATGATGCTAGCCGCCATGGAGCCTTCAATATAAACCAGGGTGACCATGGCGTTGCGCCCGGTGGTGTAAATGGCGGTGATTGCATCCGTAGGAACGTACTCGGTGCCCCGCAGCATCGCGCTGGTATAGCGCTCAGTCAGGCCTGGGTTGATGACCACGGCGCCCCAGCCATGTCTGCGCACAAATTCCTTGGCCTCGTCCACCGTGCTGACGCCGTCGTATCTAACGTAGGATGGCACGCCGTCGCCTGCCGGAGTTTGGAGCAGCAGCTGTGTGACATTGCCCCCGACGAAGCCACCATCAAGATCGATGACCTTGACATCGGTGTTCTTGACGTATGTCGTGCGCTTATAGTTGACGCCGTAGTACATGGATCCGACAAACCAGTGGATGCACGACATGATAACGACGATGAATATGTATGCCTTGGCAGTGCCCTTGACTGCACTCTGCATCGATGAATCGCGCATACCGACACGGCCCTCGTCCTCAGGCCGGTGTTTCCAGGAGCAAATGCCAAACATTATACTAGTGTGAGCAGTGTGTATGTACAAAGGAGAAGAAATTAATTACAAGCAAAAGAAGGTGGGGAGGAATGTGTATGTTGACCGGAGCTATCAAAACAAACCGTGTTCGTCCGAGACGCAGTCCGATTTATATCTGTCCATCCCACTGCGCGTGCCAAGAGCGCAGGAGCGTGAAAGCCAGAGCACCGCCGATTGCTGACAGCTGCAAATAGATATGCCCAACACTGGCCCCAACAAACAATCAATAGACGCTACAGCGTGAAAGGGCACCGAGGCGCCCGGCTGAAATATTGCTTACTGGAGAACCCGGGCGGTGGGAGTGTTGTGCCTCGGGCCCGCAAGCTTTCTGTATCCGGCCGCCAGGCGATGGATGGAAGGGCCCGGTGGCCCAACCCCGCCCTTGCAGCACGGATTTGGCACCCAAAGCCGACAAATTCCAGCCAAAATATCTGAAAGTGGTGTAACCGCGGTGACTGGCTGGCAGCCAATTGGCCGGAATTGGTCGTGCTCCGGCTCGAGCCGCGACCCAGAGGCTGGTGCTCCAGAGGCTGGCTGGCGGCTGTGACGTGGCTCGGGCTGTTGTGGCAACTTTGCATTTTCCACTAGCTGGACTCGGCTGACTCTGCTGTTTTCTAGCTTTCCAATACAACATTTGCCTGTAATTATGACAAACTCTGCGCGCAGCGATGACCTGGACATTCTCCAGCTCAGGGACATTCTTCGCGGTGAGCTCATTTCGGTACTAGACTCCGTACGTAGTTTCGCAGGAGAAGGCGCACTGGCGTGAGACGACATGCAGCTGACTCCACATGCTTCCCATGACGTAGATTCGCGGTTCAAAGGCGCTTGTTCTCGATCCAGACCTGTCCGGGCCGCTGAGCTTTATCGTAGACTTTTCGGTGCTTAAAGAGCATGGCGTGGAGAAGATATTTCTGCTCGACTCGATACCGCCAGAGACCGGCGCAATAAAGGGGCTGCTGTACTTTGCGCTGCCACACACCGGCAAGATGCGGACAATCGCAGAGCATATCCGGGCGGGCTCGTCGGCCAAGGAGTACTCGCTGCAGCTGGTTCCAC